AGTACTGAATACTGAGGTTAGGCTAGATCTACTCAACCACCATGAGCAGCAGCAGCAGACCCATGACTCACTGTTTTGATCGGGACCCCCCCCCCTCAAACAATAATGCCTGTAGTAGACATCTAGTTAGTGAGTGACCCGTGGATGGTTAGTTAGACCGACGTGTTCAGACTCTGATGGGGCACCCGTGAGTTAGAACAAGGTGTGGGTGTTGTTGAGTGTTGAGAGAGGAACGTGGGTCTTGGGGGGGGGGGATCTATAAGATCTTAAATTTGATCTAAGCACAGTTCGAAAATAAATTAGATCTAGATATCTAGATCTAGTAGGATGTGTGTGAGGCGAACATTCTAGAAGTAGAAGCCATATAGATCTATTATTAAAATTACTCACGCTCAACGAACGTGGGAAGGTAAAGGTCTAAAGGTGAGCCGGCGAGGGAAAAACTCGAGCATTGGTCAGCTTGGGAGCTATTTATAGAACACAACGTAATGGACTCGCGCTTTGACAAAATTTCCATGAGACTGAGAGCGCGAGTCGACGAAGAAAAAGCGGGTGTTGTGCGCACGCGCAGTAGGCCCGAGCCTCACGCGGCGTGGCGGACTGTCGCGAAGTTGCCCCTTCGTCCCTGCTCTCGCCACTTCGGCCCTTTCCGCCAGCGGTCAAATCAATAGTCGGAACTCGATCGATCCGCGGTCGGCTCTCGGGCTGGCTGACTGCGCGCGCATGATGTGGTGAGGGTTGGGCAGAGAGGGAGAGGAAAATTTTCCTCTGTGGGTGAGCGAGGGAAGGTCATAGTCTCGAGGAGGATGGCTCACTGAGACAAGAGAGACTACGTCATTGGTGGAATTTTATTCCAACCGGCGTGAGTAACCATCTGAGAAGGGAAGAGAAAGATTTGGGCCTTAGACCTCAGAACTCACAACAGATCCTTTGCCAGCCAGCCGGGAGACCGCCATTTCCCAAAGACGTTTTCTCTGCCATATTCGGCCTTTTACAATTTCACGGCTCTCTATCTCTCTCTCCAAAATGGAAACTGGAATTGCCTACAAACATAAGGTTCTTACTTTATTACCCTTTTCTGCTCGTTTTCTCTCAAACTCAAGAGTGTATCATCTTCGTGGGATATCTACCGTCAATAACTGGGAGTCCCAGTTTCTTTATTTTTCTCCGGCAGATTTCTTTTGTTCTCGTGGATGCGCTCGGCTGTCGGTGTCTGTGAACAAACAAAAGTTTTAATTGTTATTTTTTAATTAATTTTTGTAATGATGCTCTCTCTCTCTCTCTCTCTCTCTCTCTCTCTCTCTCTCTATCTCTCTCTCTCTCTCTCTCTCTCTCTCGGAGTGTGAGAAAACATGCGGTGATACAACTAACACGTTCTGTGACAGTTCGCCGGTCGGTTGGTTGCTCGTGTGTCGATCGCTCCCGATCTTGGGTGTGGTCTGTTCCTTCTTTACTATCAAACATCCACCCTCCTCATTATCTCTCCTTCGCTTCTTTATATTACCATGTCACTCTTGAGCAACTACTCTATTCTTCCCTTATCTTCGGCACTTGTATTTTAACTAATTGTATTGTGAGTACCGTAAAATCGTGACAACCACACCCCCAACTCATTGCCCGTCCCGGTCTGTGTCGTCCCCAGAAGAAGCAGGACCTAGAGCCGTCCGAGGCCGGGTCCAGCGTCACTTCCATCGAGTCAGACGACCTGAAAGAGCGGGAAAACTGGACGGGCCGTCTGGACTTCCTGCTGTCATGTATCGGGTTCGCCGTGGGTCTGGGGAACATCTGGAGGTTCCCTTATCTCTGCTACAAGAGCGGAGGAGGTATGTGTGCAGGGTCATAGAAAATGTGGGCAAGGAGAACATTCTTTTTGGAAATGGAAATGCGCAGTATAAATGCTATTTATTATTATTATTATTATTATTATTATTATTATTTTTTTTTTTTTTTTTATTTTTTTTTTTAAATTATTATAATTTATAAATAAAATGTGTGCCAGGATAACATTTATAACTGTAAGTATGTGCAAGGATGACATAACCATAACATAAATAATACTGTATGCAAGGATAACACATACCTATGTGCAATAACACACATAAAATGTGTGTGAGGATAACGTTTATAACTACGTGCAAGAATGACATAATCATAACATAAATATTACTATAAGCAAGGACAACACGTACACCTAGATGCTATGATAACTGATGACGTATATTATTATATGTGCGAGGATAACATACCTATGATGTGCAAGGAAAACAATGTCATAGCAGTTTGTTTGGTGTGTCACTGTAGGCTGTAAGAGGTGATGTATTTATGTCGGTATCATGTTTTACTTCTAATTTTTCTTTCCAAACTGTCAGTTTCTGGCAGTTTTGCTATAAGATGTCCCTATGTATTTCAACTCGTTTGATAAATGAAATGTCTGCTGTTGTTCCGGCAGGTGCCTTCCTTGTGCCTTACATAATTTTCCTGATCCTGTGTGGCCTGCCGTTGTTCTTCATGGAGATTTCCTACGGCCAGTTTGCCAGCCTGAGCCCCATCACCGTGTGGAGAATCAGCCCGCTCTTCAAAGGTACGTTGTGTCCTTGTTCATAGGCATGTCTCCTGTCCACGTGGCTCTGAGATGGAGGGGGATTTCTTGTTTGGAAGCTTGTGAATTACTTCACCTGTTGTATCCCTTGCCAATCTCTCCTTGAGATACCCACTGGCAGTCAGATAAATTAGGCCAATGGTCAAAACTTGTAGACTGCGCTTGTTTTCACAACATTTAGGCTATGTTTTGAAAGTGGTCAATATGCTCTCGACCAATGTCAACATTCATTAGACAAGAGTTTTCAGGGGAAATAGGGACAAAATAAACAACAACAACAAACAATAATAACAATAAAAACATCAAAACAACAACAAACAACAACAACAACAAATACACGTTCAGAAATTTGCAAGAGAGTTCTGATTAAGAAAATTAAAGTCTTATTCCTGCAATGTCACAGCAGGATGTTTCAACAACAGACTTCAGGCTATTATATTATAAGGTGACCGACATTCGCTTTAGAAACATTTCTGGGAGAATCGCTCGATTAAATTGTTTTGGTTCACCTCTTGGACAATCGCTAATTTTGTTTTTCGGTTTTTCTTTTTTTCCCCCTCCTCGTCTCAGGTATCGGCTACGGCATGGTGATCATCTCGGGCATTGTGTGCGTCTACTACAACATCATCATCACCTGGACCTTCTACTACCTGTTCATGTCCATGAGGAAAGTGCTGCCCTGGAGCGTGTGTGGCCAGAGCTGGAACTCGCCCGACTGCGTGGTGGAGAGGCCGGTCATCAACGAAACTGAGGCGCTCGAGACCACGTCCCTGTTTGAGAACGCAACGTTTGCGTTAGACAACTCAACTTCCTTCGCCAACTCATCTTTTGTCAACAGCTCGGTGATCGTGGGCAACATGAGTGCCCTGGTCAACAAGACAATGTTCAGCCCAGCCAGCCAGGAGTTCTGGGAGTAAGTACAACCACAACAGATCTCATTCCTCTATCATTAACGACCACAACACATCTCATTCCTCTATCATTAACGACCACAACACATCTCATTCCTCTATCATTAACTACCACAACACATCTCATTCCTCTATCATTAACGACCACAACACATCTCATTCCTCTATCATTAATGACCACAACACATCTCATTCCTCTATCATTAACAACCACAACAGATCTCATTCCTCTATCATTAACGACCACAACACATCTCATTCCTCTATCATTAACGACCACAACACATCTCATTCCTCTATCATTAACAACCACAACAGATCTCATTCCTCTATCATTAACGACCACAACACATCTCATTCCTCTATCATTAACGACCACAACAGATCTCATTCCACTATCGTTAACAATCGCTCAGAACAAGAACAAAACTGTTACTTGGTTTTCATTAGAGTTTGATGGCATCTGCAACTTATAGGTCATACATTTAATCATCCCAGTGTCAGATACTTATTAATCTTATTAATACTTAGGATTATATCCACACAAAAAAAAGAAGAGAAAAGATAAGGATGATAGCTGTTTGAATAGGGAAAAGGAGCAACCCACCCCTGAACACCCATCAACCACCCACCTGCTTCCTCTGCTGTTACCAACACTTGTTTTTCAACTGTTCTTTCAGACATTTAGTGCTATTATGAGCAAGCTTGAAAGGGATTTTTACATGACATCTCCATTTCTATTGCGGGAGAAATTTTTAGATGATGTTCTATTCTGACCTACTCAAGTGTGAATTTCTTCAAAAACATTTTACTGATTTGAGATGGTTTGATTTGTCCACCACTGTTTACTCACACTTGCCATGCCTCTTGCCTCTCGCAGGAACAATGTTCTGGAGAAGACGAGCGGCATTGAGGACTTTGGTGGCATCCGCTGGCCGCTGTTTGGCTGTCTGGTACTTGCCTGGACCATCGTCTTCCTCTGTCTGTGTAAAGGAGTCAAGTCCTCTGGGAAGGTAAGCACACGGATTGGTTCTTTAACCCCCCCCCCCCCTCACTGGTGTTGATGTGGCTGCAAGTTAGTGAAATTCTGTAGTATTCTAGAGTTGAGAATTGATGAAGTTTGCGAAGTGAATTTTTTTTAGTTCAGGAAAGATAAGAATTTATGAAGGTTATCAGTGCACTTGATGTAAGATCCTGCAATATTTCAAAGTTAAGGATTGATAATATTTGCAGACATTTGAAGTAAGATAAGATGATAAAGATAATGCTTTATTGTCCCCGAAGGAAATTTTTCTTTTCTGACTGTCCAGGACCTTAAAAAAAAGAAAGCGTAAAATTCTGAAAAAAAGAAAGCGTAAAATTCTGTAGCATCCTAGAGTGATCAATCTATACCGTACCCTTTAGAGTTTCTAATCTCCGAGCTCCTCTCGTGTGCCCCCAGGTGGTGTATGTGACGGCCACGTTCCCCTACCTGGTACTTCTGATCCTGTTGGTCCGTGGCGTGACCTTGCCCGGTGCCGCGGAGGGCATCAAGTTCTACCTGATCCCCCGCTGGGAGAAGCTGGCCACGTTCAAGGTGTGGGGCGACGCCGCTGTGCAGATCTTCTACTCGGTCGGGATGGCCTGGGGCTCACTCATCACCATGGCCAGCTACAACAAGTTCAGCAACAACGTGCAGAGGTGAGCAGGCTCCTCGCTGGTCCTTCTTATCACTTTGCGCTCACTCGGCGCATCACTCGGCGCAATAATGCGGCAGTGAAAATTATCCGTTCCAGTTCAACTGCGCCAGGCCGGAGAAGTCTGTTGCAGTCACTCTCCGGGCTGGGTGATGAGATAAGGGGTATTTTGAACTGCTGGCTGTGTGACTGCAAAGTGTTATTTTATTTCCCATCTTGGGTAGAAAGAATTGTGAAGGATGAAAGAAATATGAATTCAATCTTCATATACTTTTTTAATTGAAGGAATTTTATGTAATCGAAAAATACGGTCAGAAGTGCCCGAGATGACCTTCCATTGTCCAGGAGAAAAGTGGTTGTCTTAAACATTAATTTTTTTTCTTCTGTTGTTCCAACTTACACTTGGAGATTTGTTAACCCTTTCTGATGCCTGGGGTCGTTTTTTACCCCTGGGGTTGTATTCTTCACACTTTAGAATACTTCCAGAACGAAGATCTCTTTGAAACTTACAGTATTTTTCAAAAAATCATTTTGACAGACTGCTATGCAAAGCGTACGGATCAGATTAACAAGTAAATTTCCTCTTTTGAAAGTGGGGGCACGGATTTCCCCACATTGTATCGATATGATAGTAAAACATGACGTACGGACAGGGTTGAAAGACGACTATATCTAACAAATGCTGACTATATCTAACAAATGACATGTACTTTTCCTCTGCAGAGATGCCTTGATTGTGCCCATCCTGAACTGCAGCACCAGCATCTTCGCCGGCCTTGTCATCTTCTCCGTGCTGGGCTTCATGTCCCACACGACCGGCGTGCCCATCGACAAGGTGGTCACCCAGGGACCTGGCCTGACCTTCGTCGTGTACCCAGAGGCCGTGGCTAAGATGCCCCTGTCCCAGCTGTGGGCCATCTTGTTTTTCCTCATGATCTTCACCATTGGCTTGGACAGTCAGGTAGGCACAGTGGGTGGCTGGTGGGTGCTCTGGTGGGGTTTACTCCTGCTTTCCTATCAAACATCCCTGATTAGTATCTGTACACCATCTTTCCTTTATAATTCATTCTCTGTGTGTTGCAAGTGCTGTAAAACTCTTTACTGAAACTAAAGGTATGCATTTATAATTGTGCCGATAGTACCATAAAACATAGTACAGTTAAGCAACCAACAGATCAATCAATCAGTTAATCAAGTATGCGTATCCATTGGGTTTTAGAAAACTCAAAAGTGGTATAGCATGGTCATCAACAGATATGTCTGAGCATAAAATAGGAAAATTCCATTGGGGTGCGGATAATGATATTCCTTGAAGTTGCATTTCTTACTTAGGTTCTTTTTGAATCGTGAGTATTTATTGTATTGCAATAGAATGTGCCTGTTGATTTTTGTGTGTGTGTGTGTTTGTTTGTGTTTGTTTGCGTGTGTGTTGTTTTTACATCTGTCATTGATGGTTTGGGTTTTTTCTCCAATTTTTGTCGCCAGTTTGGAATGTTTGAAACCATGACCAGTGCTTTCATCGACGAGTACCCACAGCTGTTGAGAAAGAAGAAGATTCTCTTCACCGCCTTCATGTGCTTCATCGAGTTTGTTCTGGGAATCCCGATTGTGTTCCAGGTGAGATCCTGTCCGAGTCAGGCTTCTAGTTCTAGTGTGCGGAGCAATAAATGTCCTTTTAAAGGGAACATCGTAACTCATTCAGGACATTGTCTTTAAGAGAAGGTCTTCACTCATTCAGGAACCAAGTTTTTCAGCAGTTGAAAAGATTTCTGTGAATATAATTATTTTTTCCTTCTGAAATGATTTTCGCCCTTCTCATTGAAAATGTCAATGATCTAGTTTGCAGTTTAGTTAGGCTAATTTAGTGTTTACAGTATGTGGATATTTTGTCTCTAATGATCGGCACTTCGGTCAGCCACATAATATAACCTCTATGTAACCTATGTCTTATATAATACTCCTCTGTGGCTGTTTTTTTAACCACATATGTTTTGTATGAAAATTTTCTGTGGCAGTTCTTGTAACCATATACGATAATGTGTCTGTTTGTGGTCTCCCCAGGGTGGTGCGTACCTGCTACAGATCATGGACTGGTACTGCGCGACCTTCTCCCTAATGCTTCTCTCCTTCTCCGAGTGTATGGTGATCTCGTGGATCTATGGAGTCGACCGCTTCCTCAAGGACATTGAGCTTATGATTGGCTACAAGCCGTCCGTCTTCTGGAAGATCATGTGGAAGTTTGTCACTCCAGCAGTTGTCCTGGTGAGTGGAAACTTTGGGGGTTCTAGTTGTTTATCTCACACACACACACACACACACACACACACACACACACACACACACACACACACACACACACACACACACACGCACGCACACATGTATATATATATATATTATATGCACTTGAAGGGCAAAGGAAATTCACACACCTAAAAAATATTGCATTCATTTTACTGTGAGGTCTTGCAAAACTTTTTTCTTTCATAAGTGGTCATGTATTCAAGAGCAGATTGAGTGAAAATCATGATCCCGAATTCAGTTCATGTGACTTTTTCAAAGAGAATGATAATATAAAGGTATGGAATTTGCTGTCTCCAGATATAGGTTTGTCCAAAGAAGTGCACACACTGTGATATCTCCAGATATAGAATTGTGTTAAGGTCTGTCCAGATGTTTTAGTTTTTTAGTTTAGTTTTAGTACGGTTTGACGGCGCTTGCAACTGCATAAGGTCATATGAGCACCATGTCCAGATGTACTAATTTCCTTGTGTATATTTCCCTCATGCACTCTGTTCTCTCTCTAGATGTACTAATTTCCCTGTTTCGTTCCTCGTCCAGTTCATCTGGCTGTTCAGTGTGAGCCAGCTGGAGCCTGTGACGTACGGCGACTACGAGTACCCGACCTGGGCCATCACGTTTGGCTGGCTGCTGGGTCTGTGCTCCATCATCCCCGTGCCCATCCTCGCCATCCATGCCATCTACAAGGAGGAGACCGGCACTCTGTTCCAGGTGAGGACCGATGCCGTCTGGGTGTGAACCCTGAGCATGAACTCCTGAGTGGTTTACTCTTGAGTTTACATGCTCGCCTCACTTTAGTTTTAGTGAGAGTATTAGTTTAGTTTTAGTAGAGGTTTTACTGCGCTTGCAACTGCATAAGGTCTTATGAGCACCATTAGTGAGAGGTTTTACGGCACTTGGAACTCGTATAGGTCATAGAAGTGCTCAAGATTTGAGGCGTTTCTAGACAGTAACAGTAGCATACAAAGAAATGAACGTTGAGAGATCAGGAACGATAGGTGGTTTACTCGTCTGGTACTTCCTTCCAGTTTAGACATCTACTTAAGAAAATTTTTTTCCCGATTTCGTCTTTTTGCACTCCAGCTAATTTGTTGATGAACAAGGAGAATGGATAAATCTTGTTTACTCCGACCGATGTGTCATGTAAAAATTGGTTCCTTACAGGAGGAAACTTGATAGCTGAATGAGGGTCAGGTTGATCATAAATGCACTGGACCTTAGTGCTGGTTCTGAAAGCATAAGTCCCCTTTCATGAATTGTTTTGATAGTTTGAATTTGAGAAAGAGTTTCTAGGTGCTCGCAACTGCATAAGGTTATATGAGGCAAATGAATTGTTGATTCTGTGAAAACTTGAAAACTTCTAAGATTTAATAATCCAATGTAATGTTGCTCTTGTTCTCCAGAGAATCAGAAAGCTAGTCGAGCCTGCTGCCAACTGGGGACCGTCTCAAATGGAAGACAAAATGCGATACATCGAGTCCATGACCTCCTTCGAGCGCGAGCGCTTCGAGGCAGCTCAGCAGAACGTTGACCGTCAGCGCTACCTGGTGATGAGAAACATGAACAGCAGCGCCATCTACAAAGGTCCCGTGACGACCATCAATCTGGACACAGCCGAGGAGTCAGCCGTCAGAGAGCAGATGCTGCCCGCCGGGGCGGCCAACTACCCATTCTCAGCGCCCACGGAGCCCTCGCATTTAACTAACCTTTTGAACGGTGAAAAACCACCCAACAGCATATGTTGATTCCTGACCTGGATTCCTGTCTAGTCACAAGCCGTCCGGAGCTGACTGAGAGCAAGGACACCTGATTGTGTTGTGACCTCCAACCTCCGACCCAGTTCTATTGCTGGCTTTTGTTGGAGCGAGCGATGGTGATACGAAAAGAAGGGTACTTAAATATAAGGTTTTTATGTTGGCGGACGGAAAATCCCAGTGGGTATGTTGTTCTAAGCCTTGTGAATGAGTGCTAAAAGAGAAATGTGTACATGTTTGATTGAAATATTGTTCTAAATCAGAGTCACAAAACTATCGTAAACATACAATATAAAGAACTTTTTTAAAGTGCAAAAAACTTAAAATTGTAAGTAATAATTCCAGCAAACAATGCAAGTTTTTAAGGGTTTGAGATTAATTCAGAACTTTTTAGTAGTGGTGGACACAAAGATGTTCTAATTGTGATTCGTAGAAATTTGTACCTTCACATTGTATGAAACAGTGGGAATACTCAAGTATTAAATATGAAGCGTTTTAGTCCACCATCATAGCAGTAATTCTGCCTTACAAAAGCAAGAGGTATATAACTAATCTATATGTAGTAGACATTTTGCAATATTGGTAGGAGATTTCCGCGAATGTTATCCTGAAGTGAGCAAGACGTACATCGGGCATTGTATGGTTCAGTCTTTCATCTTCCTGTGCCCCTCAAAGTTATTTATTGCACTTCCTGCCATTGTTGACCATCTAGACAATCAGTCGCGGTCGTGATTCCATACATTCATGTCATTTCTGAGTTTCTGGAGACTCGGGGTATCCATGTTGTACCCAGGGTATCCGGTGTTGCATTCAGCATATCCGGTGTTGCATTCAGCATATCCGGTGTTGCATTCAGCATATCCGGTGTTGCATTCAACATATCCGGTGTTGCATTCAGCATATCCAGTGTTGCATATCAGCATACATCCAATGTTGCATTCAGCCGGTGTTGCATTCAGCATATCCGATGTTGCATATCAGCATACATCCGATGTTGCATTCAACATATATCTGAAGTTACATTCAGCATATCCGATGTTGTGCATCCAGCCTGTCTGAGTCTCTTGAGAATTACAATGCTTACACAGCTTAAGCTTAAGCTTAGTCTACCCGGGACCATAGAATATCTGCCGCAGTCATCTTGAGAGAGAGTCCTGAATCTTCTTAAGTTTGATCCACAGTCACTGATCTCAGTGTTCCTCTACTGCGCTGCTCTTCTTTTCTACTTTGTTTTTATTCCATTTTGAGATACTACTTTTACTTTTTGATAATGGTCGCCAGTGAAAGTGCATCAACACAAATGATACAAACATAAATTAAAAGGCATAATGATGCTTTTCCCATCTATCTGAATGCATTTTATTAATTTTTTAAAGACAAACTTATCCAAAAGCTCATAACTAAAGTGCTTTTTAAACCGAAGGTGAATTGAAAAAGTTAGACAAACTTTTTTCTATCTAGAACTGGATTTGTTTAGAGGCAACGTAAGATCATAAAGCTGTGGAACTGTTTCAGTAAGGGTCTTTCAAGAAAAAGACATCATTTTTGCCCTCATTGTTTAAGAAACAAATGTATTACCGGTAGAATTGTTTTGTTTTTTTATACCTTTGAACTTGACAATCTCCTTAGATTTTGATATTGTATGTGTGTGTGAGAGAGAGAGATATAGAGAGGGTTCGCCTTACATACAGGGTGTTGTGTGTTAGTAATGTCAGTGGCTATGGATGTATATAAGATGCTACGGATGTTTAAATATATATATAAATACCCCTTGTATATTTCTGCCAATGAATCTGACGAATGTATATAGCCAACTGTAAATATGTACAAAAGAGGACGTGTGATTGCGATGCTGAGTGTGATGCTGAGTGTGAAAAAGTCGTGCGCTATGAAAAGACAAGATTGGTGCTGTTCACGTTTGAGCATCATATATTTATGGAAGAAGACAATCACTTTTGAAGCAAAAGAATCTTTATTTGAATGTTCGGGGGCGTGGTATGACTTTCTTTGTGTTTGCAAGCCTGTGCATGTTTGTTCAGATGAATGAATGACGAGAAAGTATGAAGGGACGTTGAAAAATGTCATTGGATGTAAATGTTCATTTTGTCACTGACTGCAAGCAAGCCTTCAAGCTATGCCATACTGATATCTGCTGATCTGACTACTCTCCAATTGTTTTCATTTCATGACTTCATTTTTAAAAATCAAAACTTCGATATATATGAATTGTATTCTTGCGTAAGAGCAGAAGAGAAACCAACTTTAAATCTACGTAAAGAGGGAAAGAACTGCAGTTTTTTAAAGTTAAAGCTGCTTGAATAGAAAAGAAAAAAACATTCAAGCATTTGTTTCAAATTTTTGTCTTGTAACTGAGGAAAATTATTTTTAAGCTTAAAAGGTTTGTTTCATTATCCACCCCCCCCCCCCTTCACCCCCCCCCCCCCCTCCCCCTTTAATTTTTCCCTCACACTTTCTGAGGACAGCACACAACATTTGGATGTAAATGAACACACTTTGAAGGTATAGGACCACAAGTTGTTGTAGAATGTTAAGGCCAGATATCTACAAGGTTTCTGCTGCTGTCAGACGTCTCTTGTTGCTAACATTCATTCCGAAAACACAGCAATGAATTGTTCATGTTCCTTCCCTGATGTTACATTGTGGAAACACGGTGAGACTCACCGTCTCCTGTTAATATTTATTCCCTTCTCTATGAGCTGTCTCTCTCTGTCTCCTTTCTTTCTTCTTTTCCTATTTTTAGCCTCTCATGATTCTCCACTTTCCCTGCTTCTAACTCACTTTTGCAAAGGTCAACTGTTCCTCACAAGCCAAAGTATTCAGGTTCAAACCTGTAGACCCGGCTGGCACAATGCTCACGTTGGCTCATGGCACAACGAGGATTTTGTTGTTGTTTTTTTTGGTGTTTTTTTTTGGGGGGGAGAAGAACAGATTTATTTTAGTCAAAGAATCTCAGCCTTGACTGTGTTATACAATGTTGAGCTCACATGCTGTTCAAGCTATTGACAATCAAATACTCCATAGGGCTGGGTGGGTTTTTTTTAATGATTATGTGTCAAGAATATCTTTTTTTAAGATTAAATAACAGAAATTGTTTTTTCATTGACCATAATTAAACTATAATTTTTATGATTGAAACATTTACAAAGTTTAACATCTTTCTGCTTGTATTGAAAAGTGACATACTGTAAACATCTTTCTGTATGTGACACTAGTACATAGAAGGGGGACAATACTACCCTGTTAGTTCCATCATCGTTACTTTTGCTCCAAAGTTGCAGAAAAACAACTACGCCTCTTGTTAAAGAAACGGAGAGACCAAAGTTTTGTCAAAGAAATTGTTAGATGTTGATCTGATGTCACTCCAAAATTCTGAAACTTTCAGAACCAAGTATGCGTGCTCACAGATGCAGCTGATGATCTTGGAATGAGATTATCTTTAGCGTAGCACTGTCAGTCATGTTGTGCAAGGTTTTGTTTTTTTTATGTTGAGAGCTGAATCTCCTTTCTCTTTTGCTTTGTGCAGAATCCTGCAGGGACTGTCTCATAAGTTTGTGGCTCTCAGAGGCTCTGTTCTCACTTTTTGTTGCGTTTTCTTATTATGCGGGACTGGGGGGGAATGTTATGACGTTTTATACATGAACTACATTTTGTTAATGCTGAAAAAAGAACCAAAATAAAATAAAAAACGGTATAACAATTTGAATTTTGTTATTGAGTAAATTTCTACTAAATACATGTGTTTCTGTGCAATTGTCTCATTGTCAAATTGTAAGTTTGTGTTGGCCTATGTAGGCCCTGAGGGGTGGTTGATGGGTGCTCTGGTGTGGTGTGGTTTGCTCCTTCTTTCCTATCAAACATCTATCGTCCTTTTTTTCCCCTTCTTTTTTCTTCGTATGTTACTCTCCAGTATAATAGCACCTCTAATCTTCTGTAGGCTACTTGTATGACCTATTTGTATTGAAAGTGCCGTGAAACTGGCCGTTAGTCAAACTAAAACTTTCCTATCACGTCTATCGTCCTTTTCTTTCCTCATGGGTGGTTGGCGGGCGCTCTAGTGTGGTTTGCTCCTTCTTTCCTATCAAACATCTATCATCCTGATCTCTCCTCCTTCTTTCTCATGTTTGTTACTCTCTTGTAACACCTCTAATGTTCGGCACTTATAATATGACCTTATTGTGTTGCAAGTGCAGTAAAACTCTTAATAAAACTTAAACTTCCTTTCCTCCTTTTCTTCGTATGTTACTCTCCAATAGCACCTCTTACTTTCTGTACTTGTATGAACTTTTTGTGTAGCAAGTAGCCTACTGGGAAGCTCTGACAACAAGTCAAAACTAAAACTGAATATTATTATAAGATTAAAGTGTCTACATAATATGTACATATACTTTTGTGTCACTAGCGTAATATTATGGTGCCACAGTCGGGCTTGTTCCCTTGTCTACGGCGTGGGTTCGAATCCTGCAAGTGGAAGCTGTTGTCCAATCGTCCGTCTCACAGCTGTGACATTGAGTGGCCTTAGTGGTCTAGTGGTTATAGACTTGCTTTCGCTGTCGTAAGGTCGTGGGTTTGAATTCCTTAATAAGGCGCAGGACGATATGTCCTTTTGAAAGGCACGACATATAATACAAATTTTCCTCACTTCACTCAGGTGGTTTTTAATTTTTGTTTTAGTAAGCCTTTACGGCGCTCGCAACTGCATATAAGGTCATATGAGCGCCAAGGGGTAGATGTCCACAGAGAAGTCCAAACGTGGATTCAGGCTTACTCTGCTGACCTCTTTAGCCTCAACAGCACAAAGTCTGCTTCGACTATCAACAAAGCACCCCGGAAATGTAAAAAAAAATTATTATTTTTTAGTAGAGTGTTTTACGGCACTCGCAACCGCATAAGGTCATATGAGTGCCAAGGGGTAGGTGTCAACAAAGAAATCTTTACAGGGAATCAGACTTTGACTGCTCACCTCTCTAGCTTCAACAGCACAAGGTCTGCTTCGACTATCAAAGCACCCCAGAAATAGCGGGTCACAAGAGTGTGACAAACATACAAAAGAAATAGAGGAGAATGACAATAGTATTGTAGATCAGGCACAGTTATGAGCGTGACATGATGAATCAGCCCATCTACAATTCTACTGTGCTTGAACGAGAAATGCCCCCCCTTTGGGAATGGCCTAAAGACACTTCAGTCAGTGACACCGCCCCGGGTGTAAGTTGAGTTCACACGAGAGTGACAAACACACCAAAGAAGTAGAGAAAAAAATGACAATAGTAAGTATGAGGAAGGAAAAAGAAGCAGTCCCCCCTCTGTTGTTCCGGCACAGTTATGAGCATGACATTGACAAATCAGCCCATTTACAATTCTACTTTGCATGAGAACATGTTAATATGCCTGAAGATGATACACTTGGCAGAATAAAGGCATTTCTTTTGTTTCAATAAAAGTTATGTTACTCTCAGCATGACTTAGAGTTATTTGTAAAGAGTAGGCTTCGGCCGCCACCTGGGCAAAATTCCAAATTTCCTACCAACTGAAAACGATTAACGTGTCCCGCGCGCTCATACGAATTTATGCAGTTGAGAGCGCCGTAAAACACCGACACAAAAAAGGGGAAACAAAGAAATTCGGCATAATAATTATTCCAAGAAATTTTCGCCGATATTTTGGTTGAACGTGCCAAGGGGAATAATTCAATCAAATGTGTTTGACGAGTCAATTACCCCCCTTGAAAATATCTGTTTATTTTGATCTAAGAGAATTTGTTTTGTGATTTGTCCCGTTGTTTGGGGTCAATGTTGTTGGGATGTTGTTGTATTTTTTGTGTTTATTTGTTGTTGTTGTTTTTTTGTCTGTTTGTTTGTTTTTTGGAGGGGGGATGTTTGTCGCGTTTTCTTTTCTTTTTTGTTGTTTAGCTTCGCTTTGACTTCGTTTTCATTCCTGCTGTCAGTTTGCTTGTTCTCTTTTGCCATTGGGGGTAAGTTTTTTTGTTTTTTTTTGCTGTTTGCTCGTTTTGTTGATTCGTTCGTTTGTTTGTTTGCTTTTAAAGAACTTACTGCTTTGTTTCTATTTTTAGGTGTTTTTTAGGGGGAGGGGGAAAGAAAAGCAGAGGCAGTGGGGTGGGGCAGAAAAACCGGAGG